CCCCCATTTCTGAAGAAGAAATCCAAAACATCAGCTTTCCTGCTGTGTTCATCCAGCTCTACACCTTGTTATCCAAGGTATTTAATATACTTCTAGCCATGCTCCCTGATTGTGTAAATCCCCTTTTTCAGTCCCAAATCAGCCCTACTTTTCAAATCCCTATTGGCTATGTTAGTAAAAACATTGGGATTCTCTCTTTTGGTTAGCTGTTAGTTCGTTTTCATAACCCCACTTTGCTTTTTTTTTCCACCTCTCTTCTATATTCAGCCTGACTCTTGGTTGTCTTTCCTACCTGACATCATTATGTTTTCATTATCTTAATCTGTATCTGTCTTTCGCCCAGGAGTTCTGGTCTTGTTTTCCCTACCTACCTCTTGAGGGAATAGCTTGAATGTGTCTGAACCATACCTTCTGTAAGGTAGCCCATTGTTCATACAGCCTGTTGCTACAGATTCTCCCTCAGTTAATTATTCTTGCTGTGGATTGTTCATCATTCTTTCTTTTCTACCATCATTGAAATAGTTACAATATTGACCTTGAAACTTTAAGGGATCAATAAACAAGTCCTTTCTGAATCTTTCTTCAGCGAATACTGAAGTAAACTCTGAAAAGAGGACACAGTTGTAGTGATATTTGTATGCAGCTGTATGTGTTTGGAAGAAGATTTAAATACAAATTGGATTCAGAATACCACTTAATACCTTTTTAGGCCCTCAAAACTTGTTGCACCATTGAGATCATAAATAACTTGAGACCTAACCACACTTATCTATGTTGGTCTCATATTTTCAGAAGAGAGTATCTTGTGTGTGGCACTGTTTTAGATATCACACCTGAAGGGTCATGGCCTAATTCTTAAACTATATTTCCAGGTCCCAAACTCCAACCAACAGGAAGAGCTTCTGTACTTATTCTGTCTATTCTTTAAATTTCTATCAAATGAACCCCATTTCTTTTAAATTCCATGGAAAATAACCCTAGTTTGTGATATCTTGTCATAATTTAACCTTGGAAGCCAGAGGTCATTCCAGTAAACCTGCATTGCACTCAATCCAAGATTAATATATTCATTTTTAGTAGTGTCTGCAGCAGCTCACTGTACTCCGTCCAACCAGGGTTTTGCATAATTGAAACATGAGTTTTACTATTGTATCCTAGTTCTCTAAATATTCTATTCGCATTGTACATTTTCAAAAATCTAGATCAATATACCTAGACAACAAAGTCATTTTGGGACCCCCATTGTCCTAGGTGGGTTCAGGGCTTTTTAAGCCAAAGTAGATGATCTCACATTGGTCACATTTAGTTTAATCCATCCTTTTCCTCCTTAATGTCCTTATTCCGTCTACATTGCTAACAAGGCCAACTGTATGTCAGGAGAAAATTTGAATTTGGTTTTCTGTTCCATAATTCATTATTAATACTTGAGAAGTGGCGATGGAGTTTAACCCTGAAAATTGAGGTGATTCATGTTGGAAGGACAAACTTGAAAGCAGAATACCGGGTTAACGGAAAGATTCTTGGCAGTGTGGAGGAGCAGAGGGATCTTGGGGTTCATGTTCACAGTTCCCTAAAAGCTGCCACCCAGGTGGATAGAGTTGTTGAGAAGGCGTATGGTGTGTTAGCTTTCATTAATAGAGGGATCGAGTTCAAGAGCTGTGAAGTTGTGCTCCAGCTATACAAAAGCCTGGTTCGGCCACATCTGGAGCATCGTGTCCAGTTCTGGTTGCCTCATTACAGGAAAGATTTGGAGGCGTTGGAAAAGGTGCAGAGGAGATTTACCAGGATGTTGCCTGGAATGGAGGGAAGGCCTTACGAGGAAAGGTTGAGAGAGCTAGGGCTTTTCTCTTTAGAACGACGAAGGATGAGAGGTGACTTGATAGAGGTGTATAAAATGATCAGCGGTATAGATAGAGTGGACAGCCAGAGACTCTTTTCTAGGGTGGAGGTAGCTATTACGAGGGGGCATAGTTTTAAAGTGAGTGGAGGTAGATACAGGGGAGATGTCAGAGGTAGGTTCTTTACTCAGAGTGGTAGGGGCGTGGAATGCTTTGCCAGAGAGGGTAGTGGAGTCGGCCTCATTAGGGGCATTTAAGCGGCTATTAGATAGGCATATGGATGATAGCAAAAGGTAGGGGTGGAGGTTAGATAGACCTTAGGATTAGGGTAAAAATTCGGCACAACATCGTGGGCTGAAGGGCCTGTACTGTGCTGTACTGTTCTATGTTCAGTACTTGATACCTTCCCATTATTTCTGTTCTTTGGGTACTGCCATTCAGCCAAGTTTCTAACCAGGTCAATAATATGCTTTCAATTCCTTGAGCCTCTTAGGGAACTTTATCAGATGCCCTCTGGAAGTCCATAAAGCTAACACCTGTATTCTTAGCCACAACTTTAGTGATGCCTTTTATAATATATCCTCAAGTGAAATGTTTTGTTTACCTTAGTAAAATGCTTGGGTTGTTTTGAATTTTGATATTGAAATTCAGTACTGTTACTACAATCTAATAACCTGTACTTTAGCATCTCCAGCAGACTATGTTGTTAGAGGCCCATTAGATGCATCAGATGGACAGAAGAAAGTATGCCCATTTTACCGCAAATGGCTTAAGAATTGTTCTGGACTGGATGATCCTAATTATGGCTATGCAGAAGGCAAACCCTGCATTATAGCAAAGCTCAACAGAATTATTAACTTCTATCCCAAGGTGAGACTATGTTAAAGTTTAAAATGATATTTGAGCTTGAAATGAAATAATTCTAACTAAAGAATGAAAGAGCCTGAAAGCCACTAAATGTTTGGGTAAGATATAAATTTGGCTGGATTCTCAGCATTTCAAAGAAACGAGCACTACAACAGTCAGTTAGAACAGGATTCCATATTTGTGGTAACCAGCAAATCATGGTTGGACTTTAGGGTTTTAAAACCTTTTTGCTTAGCACCGTTGACAACACAGTCTGATTTGGTGATACAATAAACTAAATTGAGGATGCAGTTCAGTAGTGTAAAAGATATTGCTAACACTTTTACTTAGCCCCTTGTTATTGAAAGAGTTTATTTTTATTACTGCTATGTCAATGCAGATCTTGCTAGAATGGTGCATCTGATGATAAATATTCAACTACTTTTTCCTGTACCCCAGCTTAATTATCTTCTGGATGTTTGGCTTGTAATGTAACAAGGCCATATGAGCCCTAGGTGAATAATTGAAATGTCAGTCTACCTCTTCAATTGAGCTTTAAAGATTGTGGAAAAACAGAGGTGAATTGCATGCAGAAAGAAATAGAGGAACAAAAGATTTGGATAGAGGGAATCTACACTTACGATTTATTCTAAAAGACTTTAAAATCTCAATTTAGTTACATGCAGGATTGCAATTGAATAGTTTCTCTTTAAACCAGGGATGTTGATTGGCGTTGTTAACTATTGTTAAAGGTGCTTGTACCTTTGATGTTTTTGAGGTGAGTATCAGTGACAAGGCCAGCAATTGTTACTCATTCTTTCTTCCTCTGAAGATAGGCAATTAATGTGCAATTTCAGCTGGTTCTAAACAATGTTGCAATATGTAGAGTAAATCAATGATGTTTTGGAGATTTGTTAGTGTATCTCAGCCCACTGACTTGGTGGGCAATTTGTTTGTTAACAATTTCATGCATTAATAGTGCACCATTATTTTTATAGCAATATTCATCCTTTTGATTTTCTATAAGTGTACCGGTTTTGTTTTTGGGACTTTTATGGTAGTGTTCCTACCTCTGAGCCAGAAAGCCTTGGTTCAAGTCCCACCTGCTTAAGGGGTGTGTCATAGCACCTGACCACTGATTTAATTTGTGCTGCACACTTACTGTGCTACATTTTTGGAGGAACATAAAATTTTAATTTTCTAAATAATTGTGGGTTTCACTGGTTGTTGATTTCTTTTCTTTTAGCCTCCAAAGAATAACACTGATCTTCCTGAAGAGGTGCAGGCAAATTATAATCCATTTGTTCTTCCAATTCATTGTACAGCAAAGGTAAGAGATTTGTTTTGAAGCAGGATGAGGATAATAGCTTCCCATTCTCTTTCAATTTTATAGGAAGAGTGAACGTCTATGGATGTCTTTGGTAATTATGATTAGTATTCATTCCATTTTATCATTCTGTATTTCAGCTGACATTCCCTTTGAAGTAGTTTTATTAGAATGTAGAACATGACAGCACAGTACAGGCCCACAACAGGCAGTTGTGCTGACTGATTATCCTACTCTAAGATCAAAATAACCTGCATAACCTTCATTTTACTATCCTCCATGTGCCTATCCAAGAGTTGCTTAAATGTCCCTAATGTATCTGACTCCGCTACCACTGCTGGCAGTGCATTCCACGCGCCCACTGCTCTCTGTGTAAAGAACCTACCTCTGACATCTCTCCTATACCTTCCTCCAATCGCCTTAAAATTATGCCCCCCCACCCCGTAATAGTCAATTCCACCCTGGGAAAAAAGTCTCTGGCTATCCACTCCATTCCTCTCATCTTGTACACCTGTATCAAATCACCTCTCATCCTCCTTCGCTTCAGTGAGAAAAGCCCTAGCTCCCTCAACCTTTCCTCATAAGACCTGCCCTCCAGTCCAGGCCTCATCTTGGTAAATCTCCTCTGCACCCTCCCTAAAGCTTCCACATCCTTCCTACAATGAGGGAACCAGAACTGAACACAGTATTCCAAGTGTGGTCTAACCAGGGTTTTATAGAGCTGCAGCATAATGTGGTGGCTCTTAGTCTTAATCCCCCTGCCAATGAAAGCCAACACACCATACGCTGCCTTAATAACCCTCTCAACTTGGGTGGCAACTTTGAGGGATCTATGGATGTGGACCCCAAGATCCCTCTCTTCCTGCCATTAACCCTGTATTCAGCATTCAAATTCGACCTTCCAAAATGAATCACTTCACACTTTTTTTCTGGGTTGAATTCCATCTGCCACTTCTTTGCCCAGCTCTGCATCCTGTCAATGTCCCGTTGCAACCTACCACAGCCTTCCACACAATCCACAACTCCTCCAACCTTCGTGTCATTGACAAACTTACTAACCCACCAATCCACTTCCTCATCCAAGTCATTTATAAAGATCAGAGCAGAGGTCCCAGAGACCAATCCCTGTGGAACACCACTAGTCACTGAGCTCCAGGCTGAATACTTTCCATCTACTGCCACCCTCTGTCTCCTATTGGACAGCCAATTCTGTATCCAGACAGCCAAATTTCCCTGAATACCATGCCTCCTTACTTTCTGAATGAGCCTACCATGGGGAACCTAATCAAATGCCTTGCTAAAATCCATTTACACCACATCCACTGCTCTACCTTCATCAATGTGTTTTGTCACATCCTCAAAGAATTCAGTAAGGCTTGAGGCATGACCTGCCCCCCTCAAAGCCATGCTGACTATCTCTAATCAAATTATGCTTTTCCAAATAATCAAAATACTATTTCTCAGAATCCTCTCCAATAATTTGCCCACCACAGAAGAAAGACTGACTGGTCTGTAATTCCCAGAGTTATCCCTATTCCCTTTCTTGAACAAGGGAATAACCTTTGCCACCCACCAATCATCTGGTACTGCTCCAGCGGACAGTGAGGACGCAAAGATCATTGCCAAAGGCACAGCAGTGTCTTCCCTTATTTCCCGTAGAAACCTTGGGTATATCCTGTCTGGCCCAGGGGACTTATCGATCCTCATGTTTTTCAAAATTTCTAGCACATTCTCCTTCCTAACAACAACCTGTTTGAGCATATCAGCCTGTTTCACACAGTCCTCACAAACGACAAGGTCCCTCTCACTCATGAATATTGAAGCAAAGTATTCATTAAGGACTCCCCTACCTCCTGACTCCAGGCACAAGTTCCCTCCACTATCCCTGATCAGCTCTACCTTCGCTCTGGCCATCCTCTTGTTCTTCACCTAAGTATAGAACGCCTTGGGGTTTTCCTTAATCCTACCTGCCAAGGCTTTTTCATGCCCCCTTCTAGCTCTCCTAAGTCCATTCTTCAGTTTCTTCCTGGCTCTGTCCGATCCTTGCTTCCTCAAACTGAAGTAAGCTTCTTTCTTCCTCTTGACTAGGAAACATCAATATTTAATAAAAAATGAAAGAATTGTGGATGCTGTAAATCAGGAACAAAAACAAAGTTGCTGGAAAAGCACAGCAGTTCTGGCAGCATCTGTGAAGGAAAAAACAGTTAACGTTTCAGGTCTGGTGACCCTTCCTCAGAACTCAATATTTAATAATTCTATCATAGTGCTGCAGAAGTCTGTTCAATAATTAATCTTTCCAATATAGTTGCCAGTCCTCTTGGATGATCTCAGAATTAAAGTTTAATCACAGCAGCAAGAGACCAAAGAATTACAGAGAATCCCTAGTTCATACCAACTCTCCCAGCCAGAACCATCACCCCTACCTTTTCCCTGCATTCTCCATGGCTCATGCATCTAACCTACACACCCCTAAACACTGGGCAATTTCGCATATCTATTCCATCTAACAAGCATATCTTTGGACCCTGGGAGGAAACCAGAGCACCCAGCAGAAACCCACGCAGACAGGGAGAATGTGTAAACTCCACACAGTTGCCTAAGGATGGAATTGAGCTCTGATCCCTGGCACCACCTCTACAAAATCCTGTTTAGCTAGCAGGACAATTAGAGGCAGGAGTCCTTGGTGTAGAGACACCCATAGTGGTGTTAAAGCTTTTGACTAGCATTTTGACCTATGCACAATGAAGGAGCAGTAATCTAGTTTGTCAGGATGGTGTTTGAGATTTGGAGAGGAACCTGCAGGTGGTGGTGTTCCCATTCATCTGGCCATGACCACCTAAGTTTTAGAGGTTTGGAAGGTTTCAATCGAAGGAGCCTTGTTGAGTTGTTACAGTGCATCCTGTGAAATGGAACACCCTGTTGCTGTCTGAAGGGAGTGAATGTTTAAGGTGTGGATGCTGATTTGGTAGGTTTCATTGTCCTAAATGGTGTTGACTTGTTGGACCTTCATTCATCCAGGCAAGTGGGGAGTAGTCCAACACCTCCTGACTTGTGCATTGCAAATGGACAGACACTTGGGAGACAGGTGAGTTATTAGTTGCAAAACCACTAGCCTCTGAGCTGCTTTTTGTAGCTGCTCCATTTGTGTGGCTGGTCTGGTTCAGTTTCTAGCTGATGGAAACCCCCAGAGTATTTGGCCTCCTTGTATGAATTCCTGCTTTCTGTATGTTTGCACTATTAAAAATTGTAAATGCATGTTTAAGTCATGATTGGTGATCTTGATTTTAATGGATTACATCTTCATTTTGTTTGTACTTTGTACATCTGTATTGCAGGAGGATGCAAAAAGCCTTCCATTTTGTTAGGTGACATTTTACATAAACTAGCAATATTCAGCATTTCTGCTTTGAGGTTCTCTTGCTCCTTTACCAATAGGACTTCCATTAGCATAGTCTGTAGAAGTTGCACACAAAAAGGAGTGCCACAAAATTAGGAGCCAGTCTTGTCAAAAGTAGTCCATAGACTAATCATCCTAATCTCTCATTTTGTTTCCTTGAAATTATACAAAACAACAAATAAGTGACATGTTAGAGTGGCTGATGGATACTGCAGTGAGTATCTTGGAACAGTCACTTGTGTGAAGAATTCCACAAACTCCAAATCTGGATATTTTGTAATGGTGTAATGTTCTAGGGATCTGTTCAACATATGCAAGGTTGCAAGTACTGCAAGGGTACTGTTAAGCTAACTTGAAGCAAAGCAGGGAGTTGTTGAAAGCTGTAATTAGTCTCTCTGGAACAACGGATCTTTTTGTGGGTAATAATATAGCATATTGATTTCTATCAGGAAATGAAGTGCAGTCAGTAGGTTTCAAAAGCTTACAGTTAACAAATAATAAATCACTTTGCCAATGACTATATCTTAAAGCTTTAATTAGGGTAGTACGTTTCATTGTCAAATAATGACTGTACCAAGGATCTTAATCAGTTGACTGAAGGTTAACTTGACTACTGGCAGATGAATGGGAATAAATGGCTTTTTTTCCCTAAAGTTGCTGACTTTGTCAGGAAGACGGGACAAAGGAGAATAACCATCTGCACTCTTGTCTCAGGTTATATTTTTGTTACTTACAGTGTGACCATATTTCCCATCAATGAACTCCAGTTCTTGCTTGTATTCTACCTTACCCATGTTCAACTTTTTTAGTTGGGTTGTAGGAAATGTGATTAACCTTCCTTTTTTTGTTCTTTTAGAAAGAAGAAGAGAGAGAGAAAATTGGATCTGTGGAATACTTTGGTATGGCAGGATACGCTGGCTTTCCTTTGCAGTACTACCCATACTATGGCAAGCGTCTGCAGCCAAAATACCTCCAGCCCTTAGTTGCTATTCAGTTCCACAACATCTCGCACAATATGGAACTGCGCATTGAGTGTAAAGTGTTCGGTGAAAATATTAAATATAGTGACAAGGACCGCTTTCGGGGACGTTTTGAAGTAAAAATTGAGGTCAAGAGCTGATAACTGCAAAATAGAACTTGCCCCTTTATTTCAAATTTAGTCTTGAACAAACTGTCATACATATGGGACCTACACTTAATCTATATGCTTTACACTAGCTTTCTGCATTTACTTAGGTATGTAACATAAAAGCAATAGTAGTACATATTTATTCTACTGTAAATGATACTACTTGAGCCATGGGTATGCCCATTACTGTAAATTATAATTCCACTAACTTGTAGCAGTCATTGTTTCTGTCCCTTTAGATATTGCTGCCTTGTGCCTTGTGTGAGTTTGAGTGTACAGTACTGTAGTGCATTCACTGGTCCTTCAAACCATGTTGCAGTTTTAAAGCAAGCTTTGCTTTCCAAGTTGTAAATACTCTGAAAATTGCCATGGTACTTGATTTTACTTGTTATGCCCATGTGTATGAACATACCGCACTCTGAATTGTGTAGGGGGAGGGAGGAGAAATTGCATTTTCTTTTGGCAATGTTAAGCATAGGGTGATGGGTTTTATTACACTTCCTTCTAAGTCTGTTTAATCTTCAATCTGTGTTGAGATCTGGGTCTGGTTGTCAAGCTATTGTGATTAAAGTTGTTTGCTGGAGCCATCACATGGTGGTGTCTATGAATGTTTTAACCATTTTCATGGAAGATTTTATATTTATGCAGTTGTAAAATTTTTCTGCAAAGTGTAATGTATAAAAGATACCAAAGTCACTGGTAAAATCATAATCTTTATTTTAAACCAATGCAGTAAGATGGTGTTCATGTTGTAAAATGCAAATGCAATGTAACATCTGTAAACTTGTTGGGAGAACAGTACTCCTCATGATTCAAAGCAACAAAATAAAACTCATGAACCTACATCCTTGAGATTTATTTCTTGAATTGAAGAACTTGATTGTTGTTCAGGCCATGTCTATCAACTGTCCAAGATCTTGAAAAAGTACTGCACCTGAAATCAATAGTTTGAGTTTTAATATGCACAATGTATACTTTGAAGTCAATAACTTTGTGTGATTTGATTATCATGAGAACTGGAGCTCAGTCGATTCTAATTGAGATCTAAATGTCAGCTTCACACCTGAACCCAAAAGGAACCAGCAGGTGGCCATGTCATTGCAGACTAACTTTCATGCATCTAGATGGGCTAAAAGTAGAAATACAGATTCTTCCTGAGACTCTGCAGCATCTGGAGTGCTTTAAAGGTAAATATCTGATGTTATTACTGGAGCAGATGGGTCTTGATCCTAGGCTTCCTGGCCCACAGGAAGGGACACTGCCCCTGCCCCAAATACTGTACTGTTTCTTCAACGAGCTAATTTATTTACTAACACTTTTGCTTACCTCCAGCACTCCATCTTCAGGGAGGTCTGTGCAATGTACAGCATTCTGAATTTTGTTCTTTCCAAAAAGGGCACGCAAACTGCAAGGTCGTAGATGGCGAGCAATTTCCTGCAGAATGATGATACAAAAATCATATTTACTACTTACACTTTTACTCATTAGCAATGAATTTAAATTACAGCATAATTAATAGGGGAAAAGAGAAAAAAAATTTGTCATAGGAAGTACTGGTGACAAAGTTTTAAAATTTGAATTAAGAACCTAAATGAAAAATTTGAGTATAAATTTGGTCATGGTGACACCATGTGCAGGGTGATTAAGTTGAATTGAGAGAATATATTAATAGTCCTCCAGATACAGAAGATTAAATATTGTTCCATTCTTCAGCATAGCTTAACTTAATGAACATTGTCACTCAATGTAAAAATTGATCTGTAATAATTTCTTCACAAATAATAATGTCTTCCTTGCTGTTGTATTCCACAAACAACTAAGCCAATTCCTACCTTGAAGGATAGCACATGAAAATAGGAGCAGGTCATTTGGTTCTTCAAGTCTGCTTTGCCATTCAATAGATCAGGCTGACCAACCTCGATGCCATTTTCGGACACTTCCCAATACTTCATTTTTACTATCTGAATATCTTGTAATCTCTGCAGGCTTTTGCTCCCACCTTCCCTATTCCATTAGAGTTTATTCTGGATGTCAAGAAGCAAAAAATCCAAGTCTGTTTACTGACCTGCCACTGGACTTTATCAAAAGGCTTCTGAAAATCCCAATGCCATTTACTGGCTTCCCCCTTTATACTTTACTAGTTACATCTCAAAGACTGAGGCTTGTGAAACACTATTTAGTGAATCCATGTTGACTGACTAATATTTTCTTAAAGTCTGGCTATCACAGTTATCACATCCTTTAGAATATAATATCTTCCCTACTGCTGCAACAGGTTAACAGGTCTGTCATTCCCGTTTTCTCTCCCTCCTTTTCAAAATTGAGAGGTTACATTTACTACCATTCAGTCTGCAGGAACTGATCCAGAATCAATGGGCTGCATTTGCCCTTTTTTTTTTTTTTGGCAAGCTGTCATTTTCTGTGTGATTCTGCTTGTCAGCTTTACTCATACAATCTTCTACTCTTCAGCTCATTGAATTGTGCAAGCAGCTTTCACATGCCTAGTTCTTGCAACTGCATGGCAGGACCAGCTGCCGTCCTTGCTGCTGCTGGGTTTTGCAACATTTTTATGCTGCTAGTACCGCATTTGAATCCAAGCATATCACACACTGCAAGCCAGGACTGCCCTTCATGCTCGGCTGCTCCACTGCTGTCAGCCTGTTTCTTGGGACCTAGAAGTCCCGCTTGACAGAATGGTCAATAAACAAAGTCATGAGGCCAGCTGAGTCTGGGGACGACAGTGCAATGTCTTGGGATAAAACTGCCCAATAGTGCCAGAAGGTTAATGACCTCTTTGTTACCTTGACTCACAGACTACCACTAACTCTGTCTCTGCACACACCTCTCATGGACTGCAACTCATATTGCATACAGCATGTCCATCGACGCCTTTCGCCTTTCACCTTCCCCACCTTTCCAAACTACGAAGCCTTCCTGACTTCTGCATCTAGTCACTCAGGGACACCTCACCACCTGTATCACTGAATTCTTATCAATCTACTAACATTATATTCAAGCCCTCCCTTTGTATCATTCCAGGGGGGAAAAGAATCTTTTATAATTGGGAGAAGACATCGAAGACCAGCAGTGGCGTGGTAGATATTAAGCTTCTCACTCTCTTTGAGGAAAAGCAGCTAGGGAAGAGGGTGACTCAACCTGTGAAAATGTTACAACCTTCATGTCCAGCCAACTGAGTGAGCTGCAAAGTGCTGTACTGCTCTCCCATTAACAATAGTACTAACTCAGTTATTCTGAACAATATTATATCCCTTTTTCACAACTTATTACTTCTCTTCTATCATGCAGATATGAGTGGGATGCACATCTTACGACAATAAACAGCAGCACTGGAGCCACTGAACTCAATCTCCACCTCTAAGGAGGAACCCACTCAACCCTCCGAAAATGCACTCAAGGCTTTCAACTACACCCTCTCTCAGCTCAGACTTTCACCTCACTGCATTCTCTTTCTACTTTAGACTTGGTAGCACAATCTGGTAAGCAGATCACTTACGTGCCTCTGTAGCTGGTCAAAGAAGCAGCCCAGAGATTAGAAACCTGGTCAGCTCCAGGTGGAAGACAATTTGATGGTTTCAGCCATTCATCAAAATCTATAAGGGAATGCACCCAGGGTGGTGATTTGTTTGCATTGAGTATCTTACAAGCAAACAGAGTAAACATTGAAAACCATCAGCTTGCTTTAGTTAGAACATCAGGATTTTTTTTTTTGTTTATTGGAATAGCCCATAGCTTTGGGTTTCAGTTCACAGAAGTCCTGGTTGAAGTTAGATATATGATGCAGTTTCTCCAAGAGAAAGAGGTGAGTTCAGAAAAGTTAGGAAATGGATGTCCTAATATTTAGTTGAAAATGCCAGAGCAGAAGTGTTTGTATAGAATGTTAAATGGGTTATTTGAAGCTAAGAAAATTAGAGCTCAGTTGTGTGACTAATTAAGAAAATATCTATCAATTGAAAGTCAAACCTTTAGACATGATAGAGAAGGAAATTCTCTCTGGTGTTTGAGTACTATGGTCGTCAGAGACAGGATAATACAGTTCTGTAGAGGTACAATAGGTGGGAAGAAAAATGAAAAACACAAACAACACCCTGGTACATAGAGTCATACAGCATGGAAACAGACCGTTCAGTCCAACTGGTCCATGCCAACCAAGTTTCCCAAACTAAACTAGTCCCATTTGCCTGCGCTTGGCCTTATCCCCCTAAAATTTTCCTATTCATGTACCTATACAAATGTCTTAAATGTTGAACTGTACCAGCATTTACCACTTTTTCAGGCAGTTCATTCCACGTACAAGAGCGCAAAGTAAAACACTAGAGAAGACTTCTACAAATCTTTTGGCTTTCTGATGATGCGATCAAGTTGTTAGCTATTGAATGATGTAAGGTCCTCACTTTCGTTAGATCAGTTTGATTGAGTTTCCTGGATTTCAGAGTTTATGAGGAATTCAGAGATACTGATTTATGGAAGATTTTCTGTTTCCCAAAAAATATTTCACCAAGATAACCCTTCTATTGATTTTCTTTTAGAGTTATCTTTTACTCACGGGAGAAAGAGAAAGTGTCATCTTTTCCCTCCTCAATAGCCAACAATTCCCAAGTCTGTGGTAAAGCAAAAAACAAACGTCCAGGAACTATTTCAAATTGATGGTAGCACAGATCTTAGGCTTTCTCTTCAAGTATGTTTCTTCAGCCAATAAGGTTATAAAAGAAATCTTTTGTCTCTTCTTAAAAGCTTTGGTGTCTCCTTTTCCAAAATCATTTGTTTTTCCAGTAAACAACAAATAACCCAGAGTTCTCCTCAACTGGATTTTTTTTTTACAAGAAATCACATTCTTTTTGAACCAAGTCACCTCAAAACAATTCCATTTTTCAAATTCTCATGATCCATTAATATATGTCTTTCTACACTATATTGAATATATATTACAAATTCTACAAGATTGTAAGATAATTACCAAAGAATCCCATTGCAGGAAGCTGGAGTCCACCATCTCCACCTCTACTTGAGCAGCATCAAGTAAGTTTATATTGCTTATATTTGCTTTGTCACACATTTTGGAAATTTGGGCAGCATACTTGCTTGATCTTAATTTGCTGATGTCCCTCTAGTGTCCCATACCTCCTCCATAACAATTCAGCGTTTCTTATGCTACCTTGGTCTCTCTCAGGTCTCGACCATACAATCCATCCCTGGGCAATGTTTTACGTTGATTCCTTTTAGTTTTTTCTAGAATTATCATCTAATTAACATCAAAGCCATTGATTTTATTTATGATATCTTGCTTTGAGGTGAACAAGTTGTTCATATCTTTCATTGTGAATAGCTGGAGTCTTGAGGAAGTAATCATTCTGGACCGGTACGGTTAGAATTGAGAGTGAAAATTATTTCTACTTGTATGATAGGCTGAATGCCCTCCTTTTTAGCATTTTATGATTCTATATACAGGAAAAGCATGTATCTGTTTCCAGAGACAGTAGGAACTGCAGATGCTGGAGAATCTGAGATAACAAGGTGTAGAGCTGGATGAACACAGCAGACCAAGCAGCACCAGAGGAGCAGGAAGGCTGACGTTTCAGGCCTAGACCCTTCTTCAGAAATGACCCAATGAATGAAAGCATGCCGTATGCCTTCTTGACCACTCTATCGACCTGCGACTTAGGTTGTTAATAAATAACAGGTCAAGATAAGCACGACCTCTCACAATCTTCTTAATGTTATGATTATATCTTCCAACACAAGTTCTAAAATATTTTATACTTAGTTGATTAAAGTCACCCACTAAAAGAACATTCCTATGCCCACGTATCCATCTCATTCCTTCACAGATCAAATTGTCCTTTTTACGATGACTTAAACTCAGTTTAAACCATAATGTGGCTAGTTGAATCACAAACTGCTTTGCCATGACAAGTGGGTGAAAAGACTACTGCATCTTTTACAGGAATATTGTATAAATATTGAAAGCAAATGAAGTTTCTGGGTTGCAGGGAGAGAGTGGGGAAGCAGGAGCAGTTTTGAATTGGCTTACTAAAGTGAGGGCACACAAAACAAAACCCCAGTGGCTTCCTTCTGTTCTTATGGAGTGTAACCCTTGTGCTCGATTGTGTTTATAAGGAATTAGAGATGTCAAACCCCAGTATACATTTTGTTCTGAAGAACAGTCATACTGGACTTGAAACGTCAACTTTGTTTCTTTCAGGCATTTAAAGTTTGAGAAGATTTTTAGCTTGGGCTGTGGATGAGGTTGTAGACATGCTCACCAAGCTGAGGGGTTTGGTTACAAATGTTTTGTCACCCTGCTAGGTAACATCATCAGTGTGCCTGGGTGAAGTATTGGTGTTCTGTCCCACTTGATATGTCTCAGTTTGTTGGGGTGTTTGGTACCACTTCTGGTTCTGTTTCTCAGTCGTTTG